TGTGTGTGTGTGTGTGTGTGTGTGTGTTTTGGCATAAACCTCCAGTAATACCTTTTATAATAACTTAATGCAGCAATAAATCCAGATAATTATGGTTCTACTTAGTTGACATTTAAAATATCATATCTTACTTTACAGAGCAAAATAAATATATTTCCTTGTAAAATCAAGTAGAGGCATAATGACATTATTTAGCACATTCAGTAATTAAATTATGTTAAGAAAATATATTAGCTTGTTGTGTCTTTATTTTTTTCTTTAAATGTGTGTGGTGTCGTTATAATATGAATGGGGTTGCCTGTCTATGGGTCCTCACCTGTGTGCTTAAGATTCAACTGAACACAAACACAAGTAGGTTAATAATGGGTTTATTTATAAGGGAAAAGGGAAGTGAATAACTCAGGGAAAGAGAGAGTGAAGTAAGTTAATTAATTGTCCTGCCAGTTCCGCTGACCTGGAACCCCAGTAGAACGCTGAAAGCTGACGAAGAGCCAAGCTACAAGCTGCCAGTCACAAGGCCAAGAAACCTCTTCAGCCCAACATGTCCAGTTTTATATCCAAACAAAAATGGTTGCTTAACTCCACCATTAGCTCCTAGCAGTCCTTCCTTTGGTGTTGCTGGGTTTGGTAGTTTGGCGTCTGGAGTGGGGGTGGGGTCCACAAACCTGTAGTTGTAGAGTTTGTTAAGGACATCCTTCACCTCTAATAGTTACTTTTAAAGGAAACTATAATTGAGACTTATTAATACAGTGGAGTCATCATTTCGAAAGGATAAAAATATTTAAAAATCTACATTCTTAGGTTAAACAACAGTTCTCCCATCATTTTTTCCATTTGCTTTATAATAATACAATACACTATGTCAGAACTGCCATGACTATGTAACAACATTTCTTCAGATAACTAATTATTTACTAAACACACTGAAAATGCTCTAATGGAAGTTCAGGATTTTATGACTTGTTTGAAGTTTTCCTATATGAAAAGGATAAATATTGTCCATCTTTGAAGATTAAATACCATAGTAAGACCTTTTACAAACATATAATTGAAAAATCCTTGAGACTGAATTTTGTTTATCAGTCTTGTGGGAACTCAGATAGTGTGTTTTCTTCAATGTTAGGAGACAAAATGTCTCCTACACACATATGTGTACTTGAGAGAGAACAGGTGCACACTCAGTCAGCAAGTGTTCCCATTACTTTGAAAGTGCAGTTAAAAGATTATCATTTCC